TGAAGCGGTGCTGGAATTGCATGAGGTGGACCTCAAGGACAAGGGCATCAGACATCGACTGACGGGCAAGCAGTCTACCGACCCACATCCACTGAGGGATGCAGTGTCTCGGCATTTTGATGCAGGAGTCCAACCAGCTCTTCGTGTTCTACGAGCTGGGGGGGGAGAACACAGAAAACAACACAGAAATGGTCACAGACCCTGGGGGCAATCCAATTTTGGAAAATCCGGAACCTACTCCATTGAATTCGCTGTGGGTATGGCAACCTGGGGAGGATGTGAATGACCTGGGGGACCCTGCTGATCAACCCATGGAGCCAATGGTGGGGGGAGATCGTGAAGGAGAGGTGGATGACATGGAGTTGGAGATTTCCGGTCCGCTGAGGGATTACCTGCAGGAGTTGGAGCGGGACTTCAGCCTGGAGTTTGTGGACGAAGAGGAGGATGATGATGAGGTGGCCGACGACATGGAGCCGGAGTCGGAAGGAGACGAGTCGGGGTGGAGAGCTTGGGAGTGCCTTGGTGAGTTGGCGATGGTGTGCTGTGGAGATTGTGGACTCCTCCAGCCCAGGCATCCACATCAGGTCCCGACCGAGAACCCAAGAGATCCTCGTGGCTGTGGGGTGGTGATGAGCTCCATGCAAGCGGTGGTGGAAGGTACGCTGGACTTGGTGGAGGCGACACAGATTTCCTGCGGCTTCTGTGGTGGCAATCTGGAGTATGTGGACGACTACCGGGAGCGTCGGACTGGAGGGCTATGGAAGGGCTCCAATTGCTCTTGGGACCAAGCTGAGGAGTGGCACGCCATGGAGGTGAGGTCGCACCTGCTGATGCAGAGGTTGTGGAGTGAAGAGTTGCGCCATCAGGCTATTGGAGAAGAGCAGGGCCGTCAGAGAGGGCGATGGATGGCTGCCTTGGAAGCTGGATTGTTGCTGCAGGAGGATCGTTTGGAGGACCAACATCGCAAGCTGGAGTCGGTGAGGTTGGCTGCGGTGAAGAATGAAGCAGGTTTGGAGCTGCAGGACCCTGGAGCTCCTCCACCCGCGGTGTTGCAAACCTATGCAGTCCCTCTTCAACGAGTAAGACAGGAGCTGGCGGCGCGGGTGCCCCCGATGACTGATGAGTACCAGTCCTTGATTGAGGGAACTCGGGCATTGAGTCCGACGACCATGGAAGAGTTGGAGACGGATCCATTGTTTGAGGCGATGGAGGTGGCGCCGGGGATGTTAGTTCCAACTATCAAGGCACCACATGGGAAGAAACGAGCTCGCATTGTGGTCTGCGGTAACCGGCTTGAAGCTCTAGATGGCAGTGGTACAGCATCTTCAGGCAAGGAGGAGTCCCAGAACCTGTACGCTGGCGGAGCTGACGGAACTACAATCCGATGCCTTCTTCGGAAGGCGGCCGCCATGAGCTGGGAGATCGCAACTTGCGATGTCAAGACGGCATTCCTTCTGGCGCCCAGAGAGGACTCCAGTCGACGATTGGTGGTGGTGAAACCCCCACGTATTTTGGTGGAAGCAGGCATTGTTGGACCTCGAGAACTATGGCGAGTTCAGCACGCCCTATACGGACTTCGATCCTCGCCGGCTGACTGGGCGACCTATCGGAATCGGTTGATGAGAACCTTTCAATGGCAACATGAAGGGGTAACCTTGGAGCTTCGGGAGACACCGGAACCGAACCTTTGGAAGATAGTTGAGAGAAGACCACTGGATCAGGGGGAACCGCCTCCGAGGGGATTCATTGGGGTCTATGTGGGTGACTTTATCGTTGTTGGTGCCAAGGACATTGTGAAAGGAGCCTTGAGCAGGATCGAGATGGAGTGGAAGTGCAGCCCGGCAGAGTGGGTCAGCAGCGAGAGATGGACGAAGTTCAGTGGATTTGAACTACGATGGAGTTCGGCAGAGGAGGATAGCGGGCTCTATGTGGGACCCCGGCTACGGTGCCCTTTCCAGGAGTGCCAGACGGGCCAGACGAGGAGCCGGAAGCGGAGGTTACCTTGGAGGACGTGAGAAAGGCGCAGGGTGTGGTGGGCGAACTACTGTGGGTGTCAGTGAGGAGCCGGCCTGACCTAGCGTATGGTGTGGCTTGGATGGGAAGACAGGTGACCCGAACACCAAAACGGGTCTTGGAGTATGGATGTCAGATGTTGGGATATTTGAAAACCACATTGTCATGGTCGCTTCATTATGGACGAGCACGGTCTTCAATCCCAGGGGAGCACTATCAACCCATGATGAGGGTGGATGTCCTGTCAGACGCATCGTTTGGACCTCCTTCTGGAAGAGGGTGTCAAGGCGTGATTGGGACCTATGGGGGAGAGCCAGTCCAGTGGGAATCCAGGCAGCAAGCGTTCTGTACATTGTCGAGTGCGGAGGCCGAGTTGCTGGGTTACACGGAGGCTATGACTATGGGGGACTCCTTGGCGGCGTTGACCAATGTCTTGGAAGGGACTGGAGATGCGACGGGAATAGAATGCCGGTTGGGAGGAGACAACCAAGCTGGTCTTCGAATCCATCAGGGAAGCGCCTGATGGACCTTGGAGGACACGTCACCTTCGCCTTCGAGCTCATGCACTACGAGAGCGGGTCAAATGGGGGGCTTGGAAGGTGATTCATATCCCAGGTCAGCATCTGGTAGCCGATTTCTTGACGAAGCCGATTGGGGTGGCGGTGCGATGGCAGCACTTCTTCGCGGCCATGGGAATGAAACCGGTGGTGGAAGCTTCCTCTGAGAGTTTAGGGTCCAAAGTGGCCAGGATTGGATTGCAGCTTTGGTAGGTGGGCTAGCGGGCGTGATGACTTGGCGGCTGTCAGGTCCACGCACGGGCAAGGCTGCACAGAGCCTAGCCGTAGCCGCGATGGTAGCTAGTTTGGCCACCAGCTGGACAGCCGGCTGTGATTCCAAGAATAGAGCCACTGGGCCAACAAGAAATGAGTACGTAGATCCACCTTATGGACTTCAAGATCAGGCGAGGGAAGATGAACCCACCTGCAGTAGAGATGTTGGGTCAGAAGAGGAACCCATCACTGAACCTAGCCCTGAGGGCTCCCGGGATTACGCGGTAGATGTGCGCCATGGCGGCAACACCAAGAAGGCACGATTGGCAGCTCTGAGAGGAGGATCTTCGGCAGAGCTTGGAAGAGAATCATCAACGGCCACTGGAGTGGGCCCACCCGTGGACTATGATCGACCCTGGACATGGAGAAGGTTTTCTATGCCCTCAAGGGGTCAAGACCGGTGGGACAGACTTCCAGGAGGCTGGTGGGTTAGACACCATGTGAGGCAGCGGATGAGACCTTTTCATCCAATCCATCGACGGACACCCATGGGCTGTAGCCACATTCAAGATCGGAGAATCACCGTGTTGTGGTGTCATGGAGAAAGGGTGATCAGGGATGATGATTGGAGGAGAGAAACGCAGCCACCTGCGAAGGATGCCTGGGTGGGATACACCTTTTTTTCGGGATATTCACCCAGACCCAACGGCGGGGACATTGACTTCGACATCCAGTTCATCAACTACCAGAGGGCAGGGCGATCGGACGTCTTCCTCGATGAGCAGTTCATTGACCTCTGGACCACCGCCAATGCCGGGCATTGCGGAACATGGTCCAGTGGCTGAAGGGTTGCCTCAAGATGTCCGACCGGATCGTCAAGGACAGGAGCCACATCCTGTGGAATCTGTCTCTGACCTCAGTACGAGGATGACGGAGGGAGTGAGCAGCAGTGGCCTTGGGGGCTATGGGCAGCGGCTTCGTGGCCATCAACAACGAGGAGAAGCTGAAGGCTCAGGGACATCTGGAGATTCCCGAGAGCTCTCCTTGGTGAGTGAGGAGATTGATAGAGGGTGGGACTATGACCCAGCCTATTGGGCACAAGGACCTGGAGGACATGATGGAACTACACTGGAGGATGATCTGCTAGATGATGAGCTGGCGATCATGCGGGACTTGGCGGTGGACGCGGGATCACGTGAGAGGATCCAACCGGTGGAGAGTGAGGCGAGCAGCGCCGAAAGGCCTGACTGGAGGAGAACCCTGGCTAGTGAGGATGACGAACCGCCAACCTTGGACGAAATGATTGCCCGAGGATGGAGGGTGGTGCGAAACACTTTGGCACCCCCGAATCGGGGGATCTACAGAGAACCCGATCCTGTGCTACCACCTGCTGGGGACCCAGATCAGGAGACACCAACTTGGATGGGTGTGTCCACGCAGATGCCAGTGAGGCCCAGGTCAAATGACCCTTGGAAGCCGCGACGCGGTTTTTCTGGAACCTCAAGGGTTCGTGAAGACTCAAGCGAGTCGGACGGAAGTTTTGAACAGCTCTCGTAATGGCTTGGACCAAGCCAGGGGAGTGTGATTCAGGAAGTACAGAGTGCACAAATCGAAAAGTGTTCAAATGACATCTCGTAGAAAGCCAAGCGCTACGAGGGTTTACACGCATACACCAACTCGGTGTTACTGTACTTTGGCTCAAGGTCGGAAAAGGCCCGACGTGCTGGGCAACCCCATTTCATAACCACAGAATGAATCATGCGTTTGAAACATCATTGGAGATGTTGACCCCCCTTATTACATTCTGACGAACACATCACATGGAAGTGGATGGCATGGTCCCTTGGAAGACGACGTTCCTTTACAAAACAGGGGGTTTTCCACTTCCACGATCGTGAGTGGGAGCCTAAGGCGAATCGAAACGGCCCGACGCCATGACATCCGAGATCATCCGTCCAGGTCGTCCCGGCCTGTCAGGTCCGTCCGCAGACTGAAGCACGTAACAGATGGAATCCCGAACACATGCGACACGTGTGCGGAAGCGTGTGCTGAAGCGTAAGGTTCAACAAGTTGTTGAAAGCCTTGATGATCCTGGATGGTCCTGGTATACCCTCCGAGAGATTCACATGCACCCCCAAACAACCATGGTGTTGTAAAGGAAAATGCTCTTCCATGGTTCAATTCTCAGGCTGCGAAAAGGGTAGGGAACGCCGGCAGGGCAGTCCGTGAAGCTCAAGGAGTTGCAGGATGCCAAGATCCGTGAGGCTGGAATGAGGGTGATTGGGGGAGAACTTGGTGTTGATGTATAGTTGGTGTAGTTGGTGTAGTTATATGGGATGAACTTGGTGTTTAGGGATGAACTTGATATGGTTGGTGTAGTTATATCGGTTTTTTTCGGCATAAAGCCATAGGGGGGGCCCAAGCAATGGGTAGACTCCAACCAAAACCAGGATTGTTTGGGCATGTTTGTGCTCTTTGGGGAAGAATGAACCAAAACCAGCTGTGAGCTCCCCAGCTGCTTCGTCAAAAGCTCTGATTCTCCGGTTCCGGTTCAATGACCGATGACCTGGAAACTCTTTCGGACGATGAACTCGAATGCCTTCACCCACGCGATGCTTTCTTTCATCGCCCACGTTCTTTCACCTCTTCACCCTACTTTTGATGTTGCATTGATTTTTTGGCCCATGGTTAAGAACCTCCTTCAGGCTCTTCGTGTACGGCCAGCGTCTTGGGCGCTGTCTCGCCTCTGCCTCGCCCCTTCCGACTGGTCACGGATCTCTCTCTTTTCGAAGGCCATCGCTAGGTGGAGGCCATTGGTCTTAGGTTGGAGGCCATCGCTCTTAGAGTTCGCTTCGTCGCAGCGGTCGCTTTCGCAAGGAGCTCATGCGCGACGCCTTCGAGAAGTCCCGGCGAGTGCCATGCCCCGCTGGGAGCGGCTCGGCGGTTGATGCGCCGGGGGTTTTAGGGTTCTGCAAAATAAGCGAGTGTGAGTGGATGTTTCAATGCTTTGGCGCAGAAAATCCGTCGCAACATGTTTCTTTGAACCCCTGCAACATCCTGAAGCTATACATTTGGAAGAGGCCAGCGGAGCAAACTGATGGCGTATAACCAGCTTCTCTCCGAACCAAAGCGTCAAGTTGGGTGCGTTTTCCCCGCCCCGAGGCTTGCTGCTCTGGGACTCGCGCACCGTCCACCAGGGCTGGCGAGGAGGGCCGCGCCTGGCGATGCCCATTTGCTGGGAGCCCAAGACCCGACGAGACGAGGCCAGCCCGACGGGAGGGGTGGACGGGCGGGGGAGAGGGAGATGGGACAGGAGAAAACGAGGAGAACACATGCGAGTGCGCTGCTGTGTCAGTGTGTGGAGAGCGAGTTGACCCAACAAAAAGGGCTATAAGGCTAAGGCTATTGGTAGAGTATCTAGTATCCTGATTCTGATACATCAAATGCACCATCAACTGGTGAATTCACGTGAATTCCATTCCCAGACCCCGCCTTCCATCCCCTTCGTCGGCTCCTTCTCGGAGCCACCTCGCCTTCTCCACTCTCCCGCGATGCGCGGGAGAACGGCAGGCCCTCCGCGTCCGAACGCGTCGTTTGGCAGGCCGCGTTGCGTCGAAAGCTCTGGATGTGTGGCAGTGGAGTGCCCTCGTCCCACTCGGCGGCCGAGGGGCGCGTCCATGGCATGGCCAAAGAGGCGCGACGGAGGTGCTGAGTCAGACGGAGGTGCTGAGGGAGGCTGCGAAGTGACGTGGTAGTGGCCTTCAAAAGGTTGTTATTGGTGTTTGGGCTGACGCATTTTGGGCTCAGTGTCCAACTCTCGTTTCATCAGTGGTCGATGCTGTCGAAGCTATCAGCAGCCCATGTCATTCTTCACTATAGACGTCACAAAAGATGTCACCTTCCGTTTGTTTCTCATCCTTTCTCATCGGGTTTCTCCATGCTTGTGTGTGTGCGTGTGAACACGCATGAGCTCTTTTTCCAGTATGTGGAGAGGTTGGAGGCCGTCGCTAGTAGGTTGGAGGCCATCGCTACATATTAGAAACAAAGAGAAGAGAAAAGGAAGCAGTGAACGTCTTTGGAGACCACGTTGCCCTTTCAGATCATGGATTCCTCATGGCATTCTGTGTGTCGTGCTCGATAGCATGACTCCTCGGATGCGTGTTGCCTCTGATTCTATAGAATGTCTAATGCATGTTAAAAGATTATGGATGAGACAGCAGATGAGACGCATGCCCATCATCAATGCTCAGCTGAGCTGGGTCGGTCGATGGATGAGCAGCCACGCTCATGTGTCTTGTTGCTTTAGCTGCTAAGGTGTTTGTGAGACAACATGAATGAGTGTCATTTGAATGTCTTGAAAAGTGCTGGCAATAATGGGAGTTCACATTGTTCACCTTTCCCAACACAGATGCATATGCTTAAAGATGTTCAAGGTCAAGATCAAGACTTAGACTGACCGAGAGCCTTCGTTTGACCCGGAGGCTTGTCCAGGTCTCTCTCACTGCTTTCCGGGTCTTGTCTTTCTCCTTGACGGGGCCAGCACCCACCTGAGCATAGACAGCGTCCGCGGGCGCGTTTGCGGGTTTAGGGTTCCGTGGGCCGCGGGCCAGGCACATCAACCCGCTTTGGAAGACGGCTTGCCATTGCTGCGAGCCAGTCTGGTGCCATTTGCTATCCGCATCAACCAGGCGCTGAAGTGGACTCAAGAAGGGCTAGTCGTGGAAGGGCTGCTGGCTTCGTGGGCTTCTTCCAGCCAGGCGTAAAACAGCGAGCCTAGAATGAGGTCAGATGGTGATGTCAACCTAGACCTGCCAAGAAGCATTAAAAAGCTGCAACATGTTGCAACAATCGCATGCTCTTGTTGGGGTTTGTGGTTTGGTGTTGTGTTCCTTCTTGCAGCAATTTGAATTTTGGAACCTGCCTACTTCGTGGGAAATCTCCCAGCAATGTGAACCTCCCACCAATGAAGTGGTAGGTTGCGTCGACTGATCCAGCTGAGAGGAGAGCGATTGGCTTCGGCAACAGCAAGCGATTTGGCCGAGTGACAACCCCAAGCGACAAGCGGATTCTTGGGCGAGAAGGGATGGCAGTTGGGAGGCTTTAGTGAATTAGGCGCCAGATTGTGAGATCGCTTTCAAGACCACTTCGGCATCTTCAAGACCACTTCAAACTGAATGAGACCACCCGGATGCCATGTTTGGAGGCTCCACATAAACTTGGGCCCAGCAGCGTCACCTTGCGCACCACACAGGAGGCCGTTGGAGGTCGCTCAAGAGGGGCCGGGACCGGCAACGCGGCCGATACGAGGACTGCAATGACTTGAAAGCGGTGCTTCCACTGCTACGACCTGAGATGCTGGAGGTACTGTGAGGCCATCCACGTTGGGCGTTTCTTTTTCGGTGCTTCAGTTTGTGTGTGTGTGTATTCTGTTGTTTTCTTTCTGACTTACCGACGTACTGCTCCTGTTACAAGCGAAGTCGTTGAATATGGGTGTGTCTTGTTGAATCTGGAGACCTCCCAAAAAGAAACAGTATAGGAAGACTGGACCAAACGCCATTGGTTGTAAGTTGTAGGTCCCCGTATCTATGTATGTGATTCTATGAGTCTGTTTTATGTTTATCAAAGGAAGTTTAGTGTACGAAACTTCCATGTTACGGACATTCAAGAACTGTTCATACACCACTCATCAATACACCACTCATCATACACCACTCACCATACACCACTCATCATACACCACTCATCAATACACCACTCATCAATACACCACTCATCAATACACCACTCATCAATACACCACTCATCATACA